ACTTGACTTGGTAATAGACCGTTGTGAAGAAACGGTTCGCTGTACTAGTCACAATCTTCTTTGCTGGCTACTCAGTTCAAGGCTCCAGAGCCGCCGAGAGGTCGCTTTCAACCTTGTGGCAGAGAAGAATAGCGAGATTAGATACAGAAGGACTCAGAAGCAATTCTTGGCTTTTATCCTGCGGACCGACCGAATGCCGGAAGACTGTCGACGAGGCGTGATGGATGTGAAGATAAAGCCCGAAATCTCCACACAGCTAGATCGTATTTGGGAGCACAAAGCTTGGAAGTATCTTGACGCGTCAAAGGGAACTTGGCCAGTCATGGAAGGACAGAGAGCCCCCCTGGTTGGAACACGCTGCGATCCTATGGACAGCCAATCCACTAAGATCCCTCTCAACACACGGACTTCTCAGGGATTAGATAGGAAAGAAAGTAACGAGGACGATGAGATAGACGATGAGAACGTTGAAGCCTGGGAACTTGAGGACGATGATGACGACGAAGACGCCGAGAGCGATTATAATGATTCTGGACATTTTGACGATATTGAGGGGACCACAGCTGGAACCCATCAAGATATATTCTCAGGGGTATCAGGGGGCTCTGCTGCATCTGCATTTGCACAATTTCTTGAACTCTTGTTCCAACTATGTATCATGCTCAGTACTGAACCTTTTCTCAATGGGCAACCGAGTTCTACGCTGCTTATATACTTCAGCGGTATACTTGGACTTTCCGCTGATTGCCAGAGATTCCGGCTCGCTCGACAGTATTGTACAAAACTCTCAGCGATGATATACGTACAGCGCATCTTATTCCTGGAGCAAGCTCTACCTTTGCGTGGATATCAATCCATAGGCATTCCTCAACGGCAGGATGCCAGGGCTCTCGAGTGTCTCGACAAAATCCGAGCCAAGTATATGGTTCTAGGCTCGCAATATCCTTTGGCGGAGCTGATCAGCCTACGAGATTTCGGACGTAATGTTGCACGTAACGAACCACCCTCTATGCTTTTCCACTGGAGCAACGATGGTGAGACAGTGTCTCATGCGAGTGTCCAAGTAACAATGAACGAGTTCCGCAAACTGCCAGACTATTTTATTACACAGGCGGAAGCACTATGCGATCGATTGATGTTTGGGATCCAGCCAAGCATTGACTTATCAGGAGTCAAAGACAATATGTCTATTTCTACAAGTGGTCATAGCTTCATCAAGTACCCTGAGAACGGTCTAGAGTCAGCCTACTTGGAATTACTAGTCCGTGCTTATACCGCAGGCAGAACCGGATTAGCCCAAAACGGCGTTTGGAGGTGGCATGCTGTTACAGAATATCTGAAACTGGTTAGCAAGATGGAAGAACAGCTTGCCGGTGGCCTTTATACTGCATGTGGCCAGACACCACGAATCATGTAGCTTCTCAGCCTTGAGATTGAGAACGGTCCGAATGCAAGCTGTGG